AAAATTGGCTGGACATTGAATGCACATTGAATGACTGTTGTAGGCCTACCAGTCCTACTGTTGCCCACAGTACAATGCCACGATTTCCCGATTTCGACAATGGAAAAACTTTTCCCGATGTACACTCATCCCATCTGCTACAGCCGCTTGACGTGGGTTGTTTCTCCCTATTAAAGAAGGCCTATGGCCGCCAAGCCGAGCAGCTGATGCAGAGCAAGATCACTCGCATCACCAAACTTGAGTTCTTGCCGTGCTTCAAAGCTGCTTTTAATGCTTTAATTACTAAGAGCAACATCTAGGAAGGATTTAGAGGCGCTATCCTAGTCCTATTTAACCTAGAGGCTGTGATATTAAAGCTTAAAGTACAGCTACGCACGCTAACACCACCTATTATAGACAACAGCACGTAGGAGTCTAAGACACTAAGCAACACCCTAGAATTTAGGGCTTAATTAAAGCTAACTTAAAAGAGGATCTAGAGACACACTAATAGCTTACTAATATTAATAGTTAACACCCTTAATTAGCTTACTAAAGGCGTAGAGCTAATAGCGCATTTACTAGTTTTAGTGCGTAACTAGGTTACTAACCTTTAGGTAGCTAACAAGGCTGCTACACGCCGTAAATTACACAAAAGAAAGCAATTATAGCAAGATAGGGTATTAACCTTTGCTAAGGGAGTGTAGCTAACTACTCTAAAGGAGTTTAAGGCCTGCAGTAATAGGAAGAAGGCAAAGAAGAGATGAGGCGCTAATAGCAGCACTTAGTTATTAAGACACTATAGCATGTGTAGCAAGGCAGGGCACAACAGGATAACGTGTAAGAAAGATGCGTAAAGTACTATAGATTAGTGCAATATACTGTGTAGTACATGATATTGTTGTTGTGTGCTGTAATGTTGTAAAGTAGCTGTAGTGTTGGTGTAGTCTTGGCAAAAGTGAGCCACTCGCATGTGTGAGCCACTCGCTTGTGAAGTACGTTATAGCTGTTAGCAACATTAGCGCGAAATTGGGGCTGTTGGCTTGAAATTGGGGCTGTTAGGCGCAAATTGTGGCTGTTAGGGCTGTTGAACGACCGTTGCACAACCATGCCACGACTGTCAGCAACGGCCAGTCTGGGCCGGATTTCGAAAAACTTTTCCCGATGTACTTATCCGCCAGCCTGGGTATATGGGAGTGCTGGGATGATAAGAACACCAGGATGTATTCTCTACACCTATAGGTCTTGTACAGAAGGATACAGAAAACTACTCTACAATTCTACAGTTCCTGGCTCCTTATATAGGGAGGTTTGGAGGCAGTTTGGTGCAACCTCATGCTATGCGACAAGGGCCATGGTCATGAGTCTTTGGACCGTACCCTACTAGTGGTATCGGGTCATTGTTGTCAGCGCGTTGTTACATGTGTGAGAGGACTGTTGAGTTTTGGTAAGGTCTTAGCAGAGTGGGCAACTTACCTGTGTAGGAAACTCACCTTTTAGTTACGTTAAGTTTATGAAGCATAGCTACTATCCTGCTAGGACTGGTGGTTGTTGACAGTTGTAGCTGTTGGAGCCGTTGGCCTAACGTTAGGACTGTTAGGGCCATCAGCTAAACGTTGGATTAACATTGTCCAAACGTTGTATGCTCGTTGCAGACATTGCAGGCCTACCAGCTACACTGTCTCACACAGTACAATGCCACGATTTCCCGATTTTGACGATGGAAAAACTTTTCCCGATGTAGTCTCCTGAGTTCTTCTAGGAGGCGTGCGCTTGCATGGCTATTGCAGACCACAAGAGGTAAGAGGAGGAGCTAAAAAAAGACAGAGACTGATAAGCTCTACAATAAGAGGATAGCAGAAGAAAAGCGTAAGCAGCTCCTAGCAAAGGAGAAGGCAGCAAGAGACCAGGCTAATGCAAAAGAGCGAGCAGCTATCAGTGCTTGCAAGGAGCAAAGACGCAAGGATAACTATAGCCTCACTTTAACGGTGGCCGTACAGGCTCAGAGCGTGCATTGGTTGACTCCGTGCATTGGGTGCACGGACACAGTAAACCCTTCACAACCCCCCTATCAATCCCAGCCAACAGTTGACATAACAAACAAATACATACATTAGGTATTGGGATGGAAGGTTTGTCGTGCGCGCTCATGAATGCACATGACGTGGTCTTGGCAGTGCTATAAGTTATCATACTTTGATTCGTGAAACGTTCGTCGCCGGGGCGCGCTCCGGCGCTGCACTGTGGTGCGCGGGTCTCGTGATGCCGCTGAGCGGAAATTTGGCTGCTGGTCCTGCGGCTTGGGTGATGCACGGGTCGCCTACTAATGGGAGATGGGTGACTTGCTTGGGGATGGGCATCCTGCATGGACAGGCGAGAGACGATGCGAAGGAGTAGGGATTGAAGGCAGTGCTGTCTGGTGCCCGGGTGCGGTGTCGTTGCGGGTGGAGTAGCCCGATGAGGATGCTGTGACTCTGGTGTACGCAGGCTGTGATTACATGTACGCGCACGGCAGAGTGGGATACAGGTCACGAGAGGTGTGTGCATACGTTAGTTAATGCTTGTCTGCAAAACGCCGTGGTGGTCGCTAAAATGCTGGCACGCGCGTATTCTGGGTACCGCCAGGCATATATGCAGATGGCTGCTTGTATCCTCCTTCCTCCTACTCTTGCGTGTCTGTTAAACAGGCCTTGTCAGCTGCACAATCAGACTGTGGGTACAAAGTCGCTATAAAGGTAATGCTAAGACCATCGCAAGCGTTTGCGGCACGGGAGCGATAATACGGGCAGCGAGAGATTGCGGAAGCGACCTGAAACGAAGATCGCCCGCTCGCTAAGTCGAACCCGCCGCTGCACCGCGCACCTGATGATGCTATTGGTCGACGCCCCAACACTTGGTGACATGCGAAAGCAGTCGAGGGGATGCAATTTGCCACGAATATGTGTATATGCTCATTTGCGCCTTCGCTACGTTGACTTCGACACCCACACATTCATTACTGTCTTCTACCGGTACTTTCTTTGCAGTCATTCTTTTTGCTTGCCGCCTCAGTATCGGCGGGCGTGCATTATTCCATTCTTTCGGCTGTGCCCATAGTTCAATTCGTACACACGTTCCACGGTGACCATGAAGCTTTTCCATGCGCTTGGAGCTCTGACAGCCGCTCTCTCTTTCCAGGGCGTAAACGCAGATACCCCCTTCCGCGTCACATGCTCCCCCTTCAAGCGTGAGCGTATCGACAATCTGGTGTCCCCGGGTCAAGAAGCTACGCACATGCACACGTTCTGGGGAAGCCGCGCCATCACAGCCGACCCTATTACCGTGGATGAGCTTCGAGACTCGTGTCACACATGCAGCAATACATTTGATCATTCGGCTTACTGGATGCCGACCCTCTATTACGGTGCGTGCATATCCAGCCAAGAGTGTCGACATACCCGCTAATACTAAGGCTACGCAGTCAAGAAGAATGCAACGCTGCCGGTCAAAGTTGCCATCTTCCACGTCTACTACCATGGGCAGAACGAAGACCGCGAGCCTTTCCCCGAGGACTTTGCCATTTTGTCGGGAAACTCCAGCTTGACCGAAGAGCAAGCAAAGGAGCAAGGCGGCATTGGCACGAGCTGGGTACGTTGATTAGTCTTTGCCTCTGTATACCAGCAGGCCGCTTACACAAATCCAGTTTTTCGATGATTCCGATGAAGAAAAAGAAGCCTGGCAGTTGCCAACGAAGAAGGGTGGCGGTTGGCTTCGAGGCAATGTGCCTTTTCCAACCAGTGTCGTCAAGGATGAGACCCTTGGTCGGTACCGGGAGTGCACATCCAAGGATGAAGCGGGCTGCTTTAACGTGATCCGCATGTTCTTTGCCGTGTGGTACGACTTGAGGGACGACTACTTCAGCTTCGAAGACGGCGATTACCTGACTCTGTCCTCAGGTGGAGGTAAGTCCCAACTGTTAGCTGTGGGTACTTATAACTGACTCCAACGCCAGGCCAGACTTACCACGGCGATTTCATCTACGGATGGGATCGTGAGGCGGCCTATGACCTTGTGCGGAAAACGGAAGGAGCATCAACCTCGAACAACCAATCCACACAGTGCCAGGCCTTGAATGAGCAGGATCCATTCTTGCAGCGCGCAGACTGGGACGCAATGCTCGAGGCCAAGGCTGGCAATGTTTCCATCGAGACGGGCACTTATGGACGAGGTCTCACGATTACTGACGGCACGAGCGTCAACTCGACATGGACCGGAAAGTGGGGTGAAGAAGGAGAGACTGTGGCTCAGCCCGGAAACGCAACAGTTTCACAGTCCATTGCTTCGACTGCCACTTCATCTCAGCTCGCCGTATCCTTGTCTGCGACCAGCACGCTGAAAGCAGAGATTGAAGACGTCACATCAACGGTTATCCACAGCAGCAGTGTCCCAGTCTCGATTTTCAGCACGACCACCAAGACCTCAGCGCCTATCAGCACCCAGGAATCCTACACCATGTTGCAGACACCATCTTTCAGCATTTCGGCAACGCGCATCGGCTACGCCGCGGCATCGGCAAGCAGCATTGGATCTTCAGTTGGACGCACTCCGACCGCGCCGGCGGGCTGCGCTGCCAACTACGCGCGGAAAGGCCACTCGAGGAAGAACATCCGTCGTGCGCACTAAGCCGTGCCGTAGAGCGCTCTAGGTTCTGTTCGCTGTCTATATTCTTCTTTCCTGCTGGGATCTGTAAGGGTTGGATATGGATCTCTTCAAGTTCGCGGCATCTTCGGCTTCGGTTCAGGTTCGCAGCGTAAAGAGTTCATCTTCGAAGAACATGATTGTTACGCCATAGCTGTTTGCCGCGCTCATACGCTGATCTTGTTCATCTACTAGCTTTGCATGTCATCCTCACATACCCGTGTACGGAGGCCTACTACCGTACCCGTGCACTCTACTCATCTTATCTTTGCACCTACAATATCTCGACGCCACCATTATCGTTGAAGAAATCCTTACATAACTTGAGCAAGCAGACTCAGATGAAAATATTTCCTGTACGAAATTAGCTGAGAAACCTGATATTCGGAGATCAACGTTGACGCGGAGGCAACAGGGCGTTCACGCGTCATGTGCAGACGAAAGACTCAACAGGCGCGTCATGCATCCACGCGATAAGGGAGAGCTTGTAGAGTATATACAGAAACTTACAGAGCAATACTGAATGCCTTCAGGGCAGATGTTTAAGAGTTTTGCAGCGCTAATACTTAGTTATAGCCTAGCAATGACGTGCCGGTACCTCACGGGCGAGATGATCATACGGGCGAGCCGATCACTCTGCCAAGACCACACCATCATTCTACCTTACAACCTAATGCCTTAGCAACAACACAAATCGAAGCCCTAAAAAGAAGCTGCAACACAGCTTGCCCTCTGGACAATTAAACAAGACGCGACGCTTAAGAAGTCATAAACCCCAGGCATACTTCTTTACAATAATTACCTTATAGACAGGGTTGCAATTAACACCAGTTTAACAGAGGATTTTAAACGCATATAGATAGCTTACTACCCTTAGTAGTTGAGGCCTTTAAAAAGTTTTCCAAAGGCGCAGCTGTAGTAGCGCATAGACTAGCGTAGGCTGGCGGAATGGGTATACTCCAACGTCCTTCGTGGGTACCCCCCAAAACTTTGTCAATAATACATGGATTCTAGC